TTCGTACGTATTTTGGACACCGCCTAAATTCAGAGATTTGTGGGTCAAAGCCTTTAACGACACTTGAAATTCTCGAATCACATCATTAGGAAAGCCAAAGAACATATCGGCTTAAAGGTTATGATAAAAAAAAAACAAAAGAAAAGAGACAGATTCAATGAAAACGTGTAATATCAACACCATATAAAATATTAAGGCATCATACAGTCAACCGAAGAAAAAATTGTCATATCGTCTGGATAAACGAAACGATGATGAAGCGAGTTTCATTAAGAGATGAAATAATGAAAAAAGCTTAATATAATGATTTCAGAAAAAAGATTTGTTCTTGAATAATTGGCATTAAGTTCCAAGTATATTCATCTAATCCCTGTTGCAGATGTCTATTCAGGCACGTTTGTGTTACTTCAACGTCCACAGAGCCAAATTGTGATTTATATTACAACTAAGCTGAGAAAATATTCTGAAATTCTAGAGTGAACAACAGTTGAAAAAGGCGTCTGCACTGAAATCCGTAGTCACGATTACTTGTGACTTCGTGTTATCACAATTTCCAAACAACTTTTCGTCTAACAAATTTTACTCATAACCTTAGGTAAACCCGTGGTATGATTTTCAGACATTAACCGATAGTGCCACACGCTGGTATCGTCTCCCTAAGATAATATAATCAAAGTCACCTCCTTGACAAATAGACCATGGTGAGATTCGGGTTCCAGGGTCGGAAAGCTAACGCCCTACCAATCTGATCCGATTCTTTGAGCATCAGCTCAAGATGAAGATCAGAACTGATAGAAAACTCTTGCATTCGACAGTTTTTAGCGAAAGGTGGGTGCCTGAGGCGAGCTTGGTTCGTGTGAACGGGGCTAGCCTTGATTTTCTCTTTTTAGGTCTACCTATGTCACATCGGGGCGGCTTTCGTTGGACCCCTCTCCTGGTTAGGCTAGACAAGCTTTGTGTACCTAGTTAATGTGAGTAAGTGTTGTTCCCGGCCTGTTCTCGGCCACATCTTTGGTTATGATCCAAGATGAGATCCCCAACCTCCCCAGTTTGTTTTGTCCTCTTTTTATCTCGACTGGGTCAGCTTTACATTTTCCCATGGCCGTATAATTTCTTATCCTTTTCCCACTCCCTTAGCGAGAGTTTCTTGATTTTGTCCCGTGAGCAGAATACAGCGGCCTCTCCTTTTTGAGGGTTGGACGGGCCCTACTAGCATCAGTTATGTTTAAGTTTACTTTGTGTTGAGGTTTAGTTTGTTATTGGGTTCATCTCCTCTCCCACTCATTCCTCGTTATTAGATTTTTACATATAATAATTTATCATTAAATTTTTTATGGCATGGGGTGCGTTTTGTAGGACCCCCTTGAGAAGATGCGGTATTGTGGTGCATGGAGGATTGAGTTGTGACGGATGAGTTTTTATGGTGAATGTGGAAATTGTTATGAGTGAATAGGTCGTGAATCGGATTAGCTAGGTATAGGATAGTTAGTATCGACCAGCCTCAACCCCTCCCCCTTTTTAGGCCATGTGCCGCAGTTGTATCTTATAGAATAAATATTCCAACTAGAAAGCATGAAATATTCCCGCTTAAAAGGAACTAGACTTTTCTTAGATTCACATGCATAATTTGCCTGCAGTTGTCGAGTTTAGCATTTTATTAGGTTGAGTCATAAGCAATTTTCGTTTTTGGGACACAATTTGTTATGATGTTGATTTGGGGTCAGTAGAGACAAACGCCAAATAACACGTAACAATAAAAAAGGTTTTAATAGGTTGGTAAATAGGTACAGAAATCGCCTGAGTAGTCAATAACTAGCTCAGCTAAGAACTTCTCTATCTATCTTCATGTCAACTGACACGCCACTATTTAAAGTCTTTGTTCACAGACGCAGACAAGTTCATCTTCAAGAGGGGTGGTAGGTTTCCGACACAACACAATTGTAAAGACGAATGTATCGTCGTCACTGCTAATCATATGCATTAGTTAATAATAAATTTGGAGTAGAGTAACATACGACAATTAAGGCAGTGGATTGACAAGGATAAATCTCGACAACCGACCACGAAAGCCGAAACTCCATAGAAGAAAGGCGATGTTTTCCGTGTAGTGTGATCGAAGCGGCATTATTCATTTAGGTTTCTTAAAAAGAACCAATCGCTGCAGCATATTCATTAACAATTGGTCGAAAAACGCCTTGTGCTCGTCAATTGGGAATTTTTTTTTCTCCTTTATAGCAATGTAAGGCCACATACGAGAATAACAGAAGAGAAAAAAATGGAATTCGGTTGGTCTGTACTACACCACCCGTCATATTCACCTGACCTTGCAACAACCGATTCACTGTTTTGATCGTTGCAAAACACGTTAATGGGGAAAATTTAATACAAATTCAAGAGTCTGTCGAAAATTTTTCATATCAAGATCTGAATGTTAATCAAAAGGTATCGAAGGTAGTCTGTCAACATGACAACGAAAATAGTGATGAAAATATAAGGGAATAAAATGTATTTCTTTTCAATCCTTTTAGTTTTAAAGGTGATAGGTAAAAACGGAAATTAGTTATGACTCAACTTAATAGATATGAGCATCAGTTAATTATTTGTTAAAAGTCAAGACAATACAAAGATTGATCCCAAGAAATGAACACAGAGAGATATATATAGAGAGAGGCGGAGAGAGAGCGGAGGAGGAAAGGAGAAACAAAGAGGAGGAGGAAGAGAAAGAGAGAGGGCGAGAGAGAGAAGAGGAAACGGATCTCACCTGTGGGTCACCTAATCGGCTTGTGTTAGGTGTGATGAAGTAACGTACTCCTGTGCCGGCTCCCGGTAGCATCACTCCACGGATGAGGAGAATAGAAAGAATAATGTACGGTAGTGTGGCTGTCACGTAGACGACCTTAAAATAGTAAGAAATCTTGTTAAAAATTTATTCGAAAATTTATATTTCTTATGATCAGCAACACGATCTCGCAAACCATTGTTAATATGTTCGTTCTTATTCCCCTTTGGAGATTTTAACTTCAAAATAAAGCGTTCTTCATAAATCATAGACAACATAGTTTGTGAAACAGGATTTGTGACAAGCGCCTTTTCGTATTCGTACCCTAACGTAAACAAAGCAATTTGTAAAGAAGTAATGGATTTATTATTATTCTAAAGAAGTAACGGATTTATTAATCCGACAGATTTTATCACTTTAAACGTTATTTTTTTTTTTTTTTTACACAGGGCGGATAACATTGTATATTTAGCTTAAATATGTTGCATTGAAGAAGCATGTTTATACATTCATAGAGTTTTGACCCCAATCTGGGGGTTAACTATTTACTCATAACTAGGACCCTAACTGATGTTACCACCCCGTGTCAGGGTGAACCTGTGAACAACAGCAATTAAGAGATTATTTCACGCTACTCAAAACTTCCTGATCAGAGGCTTTGCTGCTGAATGTACTTTATCATCATACCCAGGGCGGATAGCATAGAGTATATGTAGATTAAATATGTTGCATTGAAGAAGCAATGGTTTATGACGGCTAAGCGTTAATTGCTGCCGTCATAGTTGAATAACATGTGACCTTCTCAGCAGAGTTTTACTCAGATGAATGAATTTTGGGATCAATTTTTACATTGCCGATTTGCAACAATAAGCCTCTATGAAGTTGTTTTAAGTGGAATTGAAAAAGAAGAAACTGTAGTTTTTTTTTCACTCGTCATTAAATGAAAGAGAATGACTAGATTGGAAACTACGGTTATTACTACTGCCTCTTGACGTCACACTTCTACCCCCTAAGTCCAAAGTGTATGGAATGTAAAACTATTGATGTGATACTACATGCGTTGTACTAAAATAGAAACGACGAGTTCAAATTCCAACGGAGACAGTTTTTGTTCCTTTAGCGCTAATCCCCTTAGGGAAGGCATGAACTCACTTCTCACCAACAGCTATCGTTTAAATGGCATGTCAAAGTTCTGTGGATTTACTTGGCAACCACTCTAGGAAAACAACAAGGCAACAGAAAACTACGCAATTGTCTTTCTCGGGAACAAGTACGGAGAGGTTCAGTTTACAGATATTAAAAAAATGAAAGGAATGTGTGGAGAGTCATGATTGTTTACGTTCTGTAGGTACATGGTATTTAAAGAACGAAGCGATTCTGCTTAGTATAGTGAGTAAATGAATTATCGGTACAAATTAAACACATATAATCAACCACTAACCGTAACATTGCCAATAAGTATTCATCGATTCGTATGCTACGGTTTATAAACCCTTTGCAGATTATTTAAATATTTTAGATTGTAAGAATTTTTTGAAGATAATAT